ACCCTTTGTAGGTTGAAAGACACAAAAATAGAAGAAATAAGATTATGATTTATTTATTGAACCTAAGTTCAAGAGTAAGATGAACTGGAATGCTCAGATGATAAGAGTGAAATTGGTACAGACTTTCTTTAAACAGCAAGACAATGGATATTAAAACCTTTCAAAATGATTACACTTTGAGTATAAGCCAATGATTACAACTTAAGAACTAAAAAAATAATGAGGGATATGCCAAGTTTGATATAAAATGATATTAATTGCTTATAAGGGGAAAAAATAGGGGGGAAATCTAAATAGGGCATTTTTTAAGAAACGATGATATGTTAAAATGATGAATTATGCAGTCACTAAAAATCTGTTGTAGCAGAATATATAATGACCAAAAATATGTTCCCATCAAATTGGTTTAAGGGGAAAACAAAATACTACAAAATAATACCTAGAGTGACCCAAAGTCTGTGGGAAACACATGTACTCGCTCGTATACATAGGAAAAGCCTAGAAGGATCAAAAGGGATTTTCCTCTGAGTAAGAGAATTCCATGTTCCTTTGAAATTCTCCCGTATCATTGTCCATATTTTTGGTTGAACTGTTGGAGTCAAGAAATACAGTACAGCACTATCAGCCAGGGAGTTCTTTGTTCCAAGAGTCTCACAAACAAATCAGGGTTTTTCTCTTTCTTTTCTTTTTCCATTCTTATAGAAAGTGAATAGAGGTGTTGGGTGGCANCTCATGGTTCTATTTAGAAAAGACATTTGCTACAAGTCTAGCAGACACTGAAGTGTGAAAATTAAAAGTGTGTGCCATTAAAAAGATGAGGACTCCTCTATGTGGGCAGTATGGCCCCACCATTTGTCCACACCTACTCAAATTGCATCAGAGCTTTACTGTCACAGCCTTTGGGCAGGGGTCCGCTTGAAAAGGGGCTAGGGGGAGATTGTTAGTTATGAATATTTGTAGGCTAACAGCTTCGTTAAGGGTCCTTATACTAAACACTCATTCTTAACAGTGTGTGTGACAGCCACTCAGCCATGAGCAGCCTGAAAATGGGCCTGTAAGATTACCTGGCCTGCAACCTCCAGAGCCTGCTTGTCTTGAGAGGCAAATCCTGTCAACATCCGGGCCTGTGCAGCTCCCGACAAAGCCAAGAAAGGGAGGAAGCACACTATGACTAGGCTTAGCTTCCAGCTGAAGAGGAAGGCGATGATCATGGCCACAGTGATATTAGTGAAGGAATTGACCATCATCCCGATTTGAGAGCCAGCAGCCTGCAAACCAAAAGCAATCAACCAACCTCAGACACACAATCTCTTTTACCAAGTATCATTATGTAAAAAGGCTATTTTATGCCAAAAAGGTAGGTTTTAAAAAAAAATTATTATGGTAAAATATATATAACATAATGTTCATTATTTTAGCCATTCATTAAGTGTATAATTCAGTGGCATTAAATGCATTCACAGTGTTGT